CCCGGAGCCACCGCCCCGCCGCTCTCTCCTCACCCTGCTGCCTTCCGGAGCCCCGCCGGAGAGCCGCCGCCGCCGAGGTAGTCGCCGGCCGGATTTTTTTGAAAAACCCTAGTTTCTGTTTTTTTTAAATAAATATATCTGTTTTTTCGGTTTATTTATTTAGCGAGCGCCCGTTCGTCCGTTCATCTTAACGAACGCGTTTTTCGTTTAGTTTCTGTTAACGAACGTTCGTTCGTTAACTGTTCGTCGTTTTTCTTTTTCTCGGATTAAATCTGCGGCTTTTCTGATCGCGATCTTTGATCCGATGTTCGTTCTAGTTTAACTTTTCGCTCGTTTATCGGAATCAGGCGATTCAAGCGCGTGGAGTTTCGTCTCGAAACCCTCTTTCCGTTTAACCAACTCAAACAAGTTTTTGCCACTGTAAAAATTGCCTTAGACCCAGAATAGTAAATGAAGCTTGTTTCTCTTGCCGTTTGTCTTTCGTTGCTTCATTCGTTTTGATTTTTTTTGCCAACCGGAGTTCTTAAGTTGAACTTTCTGGTTAGTTCTCTTGTTCGAGTTTTACCTGTGCATTAGTTGAGTACTTATTGTATGTTTGTTTGTTTGCGATAGAGTACCCGGAGTGCGCCGCTTGCTACTTCGAATCGCTAGGTTTCCCGGATCATCAGCAAGGCAAGTAACACTTTGATCATACCTCCTACTACCCAGTTTTATTGCATTAGATCAATCATCACACATTGCATGATTAGAATCTAATTAAATTGTGGGTTTGGGGAGTAGTTGAGGTAGAACCTATTACCTGTTTATTATCTAACCTTTGGGAGTTACTCTACGTTTGCTTATTATTGTTATGCTATGCTAGTAGACGTGGATTGGGTGAGTGTATCCATGACAGATGTGAGCTTTGTTAATTAATGGTTTATTTAAGGTGTCAACCTAAACACACATCTGCGTGGATTGAGGCACATGGGTATTCCAGCGATTGCCTGTTTTCTTTTGGACCGCCACCCAGGCTCAAAGGGATCATGGGATTATTCATACTAGAAACTTCCGTGTGCAGCCACAAGCTACTATGGGCTCTAGCATAGTTGACTAAGTCGTGCGAACTCTTACAGTGGTAGACTAGCAGATGTAGGGGATGTAGGTTGGTACGGTCTACCCGTTCGTAAGGTGCTAGCGCTTCTGAAAGACTATGTCTCGGTCATCCGTTTCTCAAACACCATGCAGTGCGAGAAAACCAATGGAGGAGATCGAGTCTTGTGGGAAAACGTGCGCAAACCTCTGCAGAGTGTATAAACTAATCATGGTTAGCCGTGTCCCCGGTTATGGACATCTTGAGTATCTAGTACCTGGATTATGATGTGAATCTCATCATGTTACTCTAAAATTAATTGTTGGGTTTTAATGATGATGCTTAATTAGGATTGAGAATGTTGTCAACCATTCTCAATGTTTAACAACTACCATGATAGTTAAATAAAATTTATTCCTTTGCAGTAGGGAAAAATTGGCTTTACGCAAAACTGTAACCATAGAGTTTTCCACCAGTCATATATGCATATAGAATAGCCTATTTTATTCCATTACTCTCTATGTGTTACATTGCCAGCATATTCTATGTGCTGACCCGTTTCGGGCTGCAACGTTAATGTTGTACACTTTTCAGACGACGATTAAGGTGCCATTAGGTCGTGGTTCTATACTCAGTGATGTCGTTGGAGTTGATGGACTCACTTATCTTCCAAGCCTTTCGCTGTTATTGTTATTAGATGGCCTTAAGCCATATTTATGGTAATAAGTTCTCTTTTGAGACACTCGATATAATAAGTGTGTGATTGCTACTCTGTTATAAATCCTTCAAGTACTGTGTGGTGTCAGCATTACTGATCCAGGGATGACACCGGAGCACAGAGATTGGACGTTTGAGGTCTGGTCGCTACAATCCCAATTTTGCGGAAAAAAAACTAGATGAACCATGCGGAAGTTGGTGACTCTTGTATGTTGACACGCATCACATATGGATGCGTCATGAGACCGACTGCACCGAAGTTTATTCAAACTAAAAGTTGACTAAACGACTTGGGACGATGGGTGACCAAGGCAATGATGCCATTGCTTTTTATTGACGGGCGCGAGCATGGCAGCCTTGACATGGTGGAGGGCGGATGGCGGAATGGGGTAGAGGCTGACTCGACATCTGCCTTGGAGCAGGCTTATCTTCAATGCATGGTCCTTAATGATAAAAAAAATATGGGTGAAATTCACCGAACACATCATTGTCTTTGGTAAGTTTATGGATGGAGATAAGATTCATTTTTATATGTGTAACAGGAAGTATGTTTAAAAGAACAAGAGGTTTAGCATCGGAAGTATTGGTAGAACTTTGACCAATATGTTCAATATGCAAACCTACTCTGTTGACAGTTTGGACGTCATGGCCGTTGTAGCACCCGCGAAGGAGATGTGATCCAAGTCGCTGGTGCTGTGGTTTGTCGCGCCCGTGTCCGAATACCAATTAGGATCAACCTGGTACCCAGGGCTAGTCCCGATGATATTGGCAACTTTAAAATTCATGTTCACTGATCCAAACCTCCGTCGGGTCCAATTCTTTCCATATCTTCTTAACTCGCTTGCACGAGAACAAGCAGTGTTGAATATCCTCTGCACCCATCAGACAGATCGGGCTTGCATTTTGAACTACAAAAACGTCTCATATTTATTAGTCTAGTTAGATAGAGGTTATGGATATTCTGTGACGATGGCAAGCATCTATCTCGCCACGTGTCATTTCTTATGCAATATTCTTAACTGTTGAAGAGACATGAATAAATTAGGTGATGTGTTGTTCCTACATTTAGAAAAAATGTCAATGGCAGCCACATCTTCTGTTGGCAAATACAGGAGCAATCTACCGAGGGACTCCAGTGTGGTTCCCGTGTTGTGAAAGAAGCCCAAACTGCTGCGGTGTTGTGGCCTGATGCGGCCCTGCTTCTGCAGGTCATTTTTCCGACAAAGGATATTGTCATTCGCTCGATAAGTGCTTCAACATAACACCTTTTTTTTATATAATGTATAGTTTCATTCAATCGATTATATACAATCACACTGAGCAAATGCCTTACTTCAACATAACACAGTGCACATAGTCAACAAGGTAACAGCTGGCGAACTACAGCTTCTGCCTGGATGGCTAGTAGGTGCTGATACCTGCCCTCCCGACAGTTGCATTTTCGGTGTACGCAACAAAATCTTCTTTAAGAACTGTCGTGGGGCTGTCTAACCTCACGAGCCAAATTTTCAGAATGATTAAGTGCAACTTGGATTCACAAGGAAATTTTAAAATTACTAAATTTCATACAATCTCACTTAAAAACAGCGATAGAAAATGAATGCATTTTCTCAACACGCCTCTGGCTGCACAGCAGTGAACCAAACACACAGCCGCGAGATTTTGGGCATAAATGTGGTCAGGCTATGCTTAAATATCAGTTGAGGATACTTCAAGCAAAGCAAATTTCACCAAAAATGACTGCTGCAAGGAACATAAGCACTTGAAACATTCAGTGTTAATACTTTTACAGCCAGTGATTCATGTCTCGACAAAACTAATATTGTAGACATAAGACATGAAAAAGCACAACAACACTATAAGCGCTAACGAGTACATAAAAATCTGAACACAAAGATGTAATGTTCGTTTTCAAACTTCCCTTCACTGGATGTTCCATTTCTGCTCCAAGGCACTGCATATTCGATTCAGGCAGCAGGCAGCACTGAGAGGGTAACCGCTAACTGCAAGAAAAAGGTAATATGTCACTACAGTTCAAAGCAAAAGGGGGGTACAATCAAGAAACTACTACTCCCTCATGTCCTTTTTACTCCACATATTAGATTTGTGTCAAGTCAAAGTTTGCAACATTTGACCAAATTTATATTAAAAAATATCTATATCTATAATATCAAATATACTCCCTCCGTTCCCAAATATTTGTCTTTCTAGACATTTCAAATGACTACCACATATTGATGTATGTAGACATATTTTAGAGTGTAGATTCACTCATTTTGCTCCGTATGTAGTCCACTTGTTGAAATCGCTAGAAAGACAAATATTTGGGAACGGAGGGAGTATATATTATGAAACTATATTTCATAATGAATCTAAAAACATTGATTTGACATTCTGAATGTTGATACTTTTTTCTATAAGTTTGGTCAAAGTAGAGATACTTTGACTTCGGACAAAACTTATATGCAGACTAAAAGGGACCGGAGGGAGTACATGGTAGGGCGATACAACTTGAGGCAGAGAATAGCAATATCTAATTGTCCACGTTATGAAGGTCTAGGCGATGCTTGTGAACTCAAACCTAATTGATGGTTTCTTGCTCTAACAAAAGATGTCGGAAAGGGCAAGCCGCTGATGCTCAAACCACCAAGAAGCAGAAATGTATTTAATCCAAATCAGTAACCAAGTTCCAACCAAGTTATCCCAAGCCCAACTAATTTGGGGTAGTTAATTATAGAAACAAAGGAAACCCAGGAATTGGGTAGTTTGAAAAATATGAAAAGAGACTAAACCTCATTTAATAGTTAATGCCAACAAGCTGAACTGAGTAAATATTCAATTTTAATTGATAAGTGTTGGTTACAACTAACAACATGCTAGAAGTTTCCAATTTTACCGTGAGACAACACTCTATTGATCAACATTACAAGAAAAGAGAACTATTTGAATGGGGCAAAGCAAATATCATAAATGTTTGTTTTCAGGTAACAATTCACAGGGAACAGTGGACTTCTTAAAGTCTCAAACACAACATGCACAACAAACATATGATTCAATTTATCTAACACCCATTTGAAACCTCTCAAAAGATCCAAACAACTGAAAATCACACTGATTTAACAAACATATTAGTATCACCCTTATCAGAAGTTTACGAAGTTCTCAGGACTACTGTTTTTATTTCAAACAGGGTTACTTACTCTGTATGTAATCATCTGAGTATTCCTTGTCAACCTTTCCATGGGCCATGGCACCAACCTGGAATAATGTGCAGACAATATGAGATTATGCACAAGGAAGCAAGAGATGATAGAAAACAAATTAGTTCAATATCAAAGCTTTTACAGTTCCACTCACCACAAACACAAGAGGTTCATCATCATTGGACTTAGCAACATAGTCAAACAAATTAACTGCCTTCTCCGCACTATATGAAAGGCCTAATGACCAAAAACATATCAATTAGCATCCCTATCTGATCCAGAGAAAGTTTTAGTAAATAAATAATTTTCTCACCAATTTTCCGTACGCCAACAGGTAGATACTGGGTAACAGGATTTTTAATAACATTAAGGAGCTTCTCGCGCTTCCCAACTGCCGTGATGCTCAGCTTTTGCAATAACTGTGCTGTGATGTTGTATAACTTGCAGGTCAGCATGGTTCATGAAATATATACATAAAAGGTGAAGAACATGCACTACTTGTATTATTTGCAACTTACACATCAAGCCACAGAAACGTTTGAATGTCCGTGGCATGCGAACATGAGGCTTGATTTCAAACAACACTCCCTTTTCAGTCCTAACATAAACAGCTTGTAACCTCCCAGCCTTAGTTAGAGGGCTATCAAATATTGCTAGTAGTGCCTGCAAAATATTTTCGGCAGAAATTCAGTAGCTATTCAGAGACCCAAACAGTGTTCGACAACCAAAAGAGAGGAAACAAATGCTATGGCATTAGGTCGCGTTGACAACCAAATTAAATTTACTTCCCTTAGACATACAACAGGAACTTCTGGGTGGATAATGCTCCCTCCGATCCAAAATAAGTGTCACAATTTTGAACTGGGTTTAGTTCAAAACTGCGACATATTTATGGATCGGAGGTAGTAATAAATAAGACAGCTTTATATTCATATTACAGCATCAGAAATAAAATAATAATGACGGAAATTTAGAATACCTGGTGAATGATATCAGGCCTGTAATCAGCTGGATTGCGATTCTGCTTCCTTAAATAGTTTGCGTGATCATCCGAATTCAAGATTTGCATACCCTACAGAAACAGTTACAATAATCACTAAAACTGACATAAAATAAGGGATTTTTATTTAGTACGAGGCGTTGACCTCTTTAATCACCAGATATTGTAGAAGGATTGTGACTACTCTGGTGTAATTAGTTAACACTTGCTCTTTACATGCTAGCAGCCACTAATTTTCGACCATTGCTACCTACTCGTGCACAGCCCATCCACAATGCATGCACACAATAACCTATCCTCCAAAGGGAAGGGAAGAAAATAATTACGAATTTATGCCTAGCGTTAACCTTGCCAATAAATCAGGACAAGACATGTTCATCGCTCACTATTAGATTTATTATGCTCACTAATTCAACTGTAGCATTCTGCAAGTATGCTGCGGATCCGGCTTGCCTGCTCCCTCCTCATGCTCCCATCCGTGCTCCCACTCCATCCTACGGCTGTCTTTTTCTCTTTTTTCTTTCTAATCTAATCATCTCCCCCCCTGATTTTAAGGGGGTGGGGCCGGGCCTTATTTTGTTCCAATCAAATCATGCCACGTATGCGGGAGCACGGATGGGCGCACGCCGGGGGAGCAGGCAAGTCTCGTCCGTATGCTGCAGCTTAAGACATTAGCATCTTTTTCGAAGTCCGCTCTTATACTATTACGGGAGGCATGCTTCTACATTCAAACAATTTCAGGACAGTGCAACTTTTGTTCCACTATTTCCCCTACTCGTACCGTGTGTTAAACTAAACTACCACATGAATAAACCAGCTACTCGAACAAATATCTCTAAGTCTCAATTCGACCACCGAACGAGAAATAATCGGCCACAGTGAGAAATAAATTACTGATTTATTGGTCGAGAGTCCATAGTACTAGCATACCTTGCCGACTTTGCCGACCTCGAGGCAGGCCCTCTCAAGTACGAAGATAGCGCCCGGCCGCCGCTTACTGTCGACCGGGCGGGGCACGATGGGGATCCCCTCCCCCACCTCCTCGGCAAAAGCTTCCTCTGCCGCCGCCTCCCCCTCCATCACCTCCTCATTTTCCTTCACCTCTTGCTCCACCGCCTCGGCGTCGACCGGAGGGGCGCGCGAGGCTTCGCCGCCTTCCAGCTTCCGCTTCTTCTTCCCCTTCACTGCGTACGGCCGCCCCATGCCTTCTTCTCGCTTCGCGCCGGCGCCGGGCTGCGGGGGGTTGAGTCACAGGGAGCCGCCTAGGGTTCTTCTCCTTCGTCCCCTTCTTTTTTTGAGGGGGTGGGGTTCATCTTATTCTGTGGGCTCAAAAGGCACTGAGCATAGCAACGGCACAACATCAAATAGAAGCCCATGAACCACAACCAGCCCGAAAAAGAGAAGCCTATCAAACACAACCAGGGGATTTGGGCCGGTTGTGCTTGATAGGCTTCTTTTTTTCGCCACGCCCGGCCCAAATACGAAGCGCTGACCATATGGCAGCGGAACGGACGTTGCCGACGCTCGCGGGAGGGGAGGCGGAGGCGGGGGCCGCAGGCCGCAGCGCTGGAGGTTTGGCAATGGTGATGGTATCATGGTGCGTCGACCGGCCGGCCGGGCAGTGCGGAGCAGCCGGCGGGCGTGACGGTGGCACACGGGGGTAAGCCTGGCAAAACGCGTACGTAAGATAACCTGTTCTTGTATCATCAAAATAGTAATGGACAGGATCGGAAGTGCATGAATGAACCCGGATACATGTGAATCCACTTTGAAAAAAACATTTTAAAATGTTAAAAAATTCTAAAAAAGAAGTGTGCGCTGACATCTCCATATTCTATATGTGTGCAAAAAGTTTCATGAAAAAACATTTTTTTAGCCTATGTAAAAAAGACAAAATATTGTGCCGCGAGGCGCTATTTAGAAGTACTAAAATTTGTCTTTTTACTAAGACAAAATAAAAATACTTTGTCAATGGACATACTTTTGCGAACATGTATGCATCAAATTTTGTTTAGAATTTTTAGACATTAAAAAATGTGTTAATAGTACATTTTTGAAAAGCAGGTTCATATGTACCCCTGTGCAGGATGTGCTGACTCTGGACAGGATGCGCTTGTCTCAAGCGGGACAAGATCCCCGATTTCTGAATTCATCGATTGTGAATTTTTCACTCAGTCGAACTGCCCACTGCTTGGTTAGCTACGAAACAAAAACGGCACCTTAGCTAGCTAGCCAGCTACAACATACTCAAAGTTTTACCTCTTGTTCTAAGTTAAAGTGTATTTTTCTCTCTGTCTATGAATAAGTGTATTTTTACCTTTTGTTTTAAATCAAAGTTTTAAAATTTTGACCAACTTTATAGAAAAAAGTAGTAGCATGTATGACATCAAATTTGTATATTATGAAAGTACATTTCAAAACGAATCTACTGATACCAATTTAGTGCAATAAATGCTGCTACTTTTTCCTATAAAGTTAGTCAAAGTTTCGTAACTTTAACTTAAGACAAAACCTAGATGTACACTTATTCACAGACATAGGCTTCTACGTCAAACTGGCCGGTACATGATTTAACATGTATCATGCCAAAACATGCATGGACCTGTGATCCCGGAAAAAGAAGAAGAAAAGAACATGATCCTTGATCGCACGATTTAAATACTAGCAGCCTGAAGAACATGAACCGAAAACGCGATCCATCAAGCAACCTAATTTGCTGGAGCCGCGGTCGGAGGACATGTATGATATATCCAAACAGCTTTCGTCATGTGTCCGGGGGATTTGCTGTCACCAACGGGTTGGCTTTGGCTAGTTTTGGGATTCCCACGCAAATATACGCGCCGCAACAAGGTTACGCGCTGCTAGTTGCAACATGGCACTACCCCCATGGCCGAAGCCAGGTTCTCCATCGCGACACGCTACAAATTGATTGATACGGTATGCTCATGGCGGATCTTCTTGCGCCGACTCCATTATTAGGATCAGCATCGATCAGGTCAACCTTGTCTTTTTTTATAGAAAGACTGTAAGGAAACCCCTACAGTATATTGATGCAACAAACCCAGCAAGTATCATGCTTTGAACCTAGGTGGCATTGCCGAAGCTTCGTGAGGGCAAAAGCGTGCCATGGCCCACCCAGTCTCTGAAGTAAAAATACATATAGTAGTACAAATATACGACTGGCTTTTGCATGTAGCCTCGCCTCGTCCCTATTCTTTTCTTGCATCCAGCCTCTGTTGCTCGATGCCTCCCTTGATTGCTCTTCCTATCGAGCAGAGTAGCAGCTCGATGCCTCCCTTGATTGCTTTCCTATCCAACAGAGTAGCAGACCGACGCTAAGGCACGAATCACGCGTACAGCTGCAGGGAGGGCCAAAGAGATGTCGCACGGAGCTGCGGAGGTTGAGCTGCCGGTCACACCATGGCAACAAGTAGCAGCACCGAGCGGTGCGGAGGCCTAAGGGCGACACATGCCCCAGGAGACACAGGTAGCAGCGGTAGCGGGCAGCCGGGCGAGTAGTAACCTAGACGTCGAGCGCTGCTGCTCAGGAACATCCGCACCCTCCAAACTCTCATCTCTTACTCATTGGTCAGTACTAATTTTCCTATAAAATATAGGTTGTAGGCTGTAGCACTCTGAAATTAAATCAATTGATAATACACATCTTAATTTGGTAGATAATTGTCATGGGCAGGCTAATCAATGTAGAATCAATTTAGTTTTCAAAAGACAAAGAGATATGGTACAATTACATATGAAGTTGAGAAAGATTTTTCAGCGGCAGCTCTTCGTCCATTGCTTGGGTTGAAATATTTTGTGTTTTCTTTTAGTTTCGCCAGTCGAGGTTTTCCTTCGTAGCTCTGCCATTGCTGGGTGGGTGGAAAGGCATCAGCCCCTTTTCATCACTAGACTATGCCTTAGTCTGCTCAGGTCGACCTTGTCATTGTTGGATTTTTTTTTTTTTGAAAAACTATCATTGATGGATAGCTTCATTGAGATTTCAGCTAACCATATTGGCTCATGGGACCGTAATAATAGCATGGGTACGTCAGCCATGGTTGAAATATGAACACCCGAGGTCCCAAGTGAAACACAGAGTATTATTTAGCACGAAAACCCACTTTAGTGATTCAATGTTAGAGACCCAATGGAAGACACATGCAAAAACAGTATAGTTTCAGACGATTTGTGCACGATAGTGCATATCCGTTCGTTCATATGTATCATTAAAGGGTAGCAGACGGCCAGCACTCCCGTCGTGCAGCTGTGCATGCCTTTGTCGTCTGCCAAGCAGTTTCGATGCAAGAATGCTGGAAAGTGGGAAATTGAGCTACCTACCAGCACCTGCCTAGCCAATCAGCTACTGACACCTCGAACCGTATACTTACTCATGTGCTGTATAAGAAAGTTTTCTCTTGTATATGAAATATAGATATTTCAGTATCAGGCTCACCAGTGTACTTTACATGCATGACAACAGTAATATGGCAGACCCACTCTCTCTCGCTTCCCCCATATATTTTAAACCATATATTCGTTTTATGATATATTTTTTTCATATTTGAAGTCCTTGTGCCAAAATATTTAAAATGAGACCAATCTTGAATATTGTTCAACCACATTTAATTCGAACATACATTTCACATTTTGAAATAATCAATTTCGCATTGATAAATTACAATTTAATTTTTTGTAGTTGCTATTTCACAATTTTAAACCTGCATTTCACTTTCCACTGGCTTATTGCACAAAAATAACAACTATTTCAATCGCACATTTCTGAAATAACCTATTTCACCTTTTTTGAAATAAATTATTTCACATTTTCAAATAATCAGTTTCACTTTGTCACATTACAACTTCAATTATGTGGCTACTATTTCAAAATTTAGAGCCTACATTTATCTTTCTACAGGCTTGTTTCACAAAAATAATATATATTTCAATCGCACATTTCTCAAATGACCCGTTTCACTCTTTTGAAATAAATTATTTCATATTTCCAAAATAATCAGTTTCACAATGATATATTATAATTTCACTTTTTGTGATTACTATTTCACAATTCAGAATGACTGGCTTGTTTTACAAAAAACATCTATTTTATTTGCACATTTCTTAAATAAACTATTTCACTCTTTGGAAATAAAATTATTTCATATTTTCAAATAATCAGTTTCACAATGATACATTATAATTTTACTTTCTATTGTTGTTATTTCACAATTCAGAAACTACATTTCACTTCTGGCTTGTTGCACAAACCTCACATCTATTTCAATTGCACATTGTTGAAATAACAAAAATCACATCTATTGCAGTTGCACATTTCAGAACCTATATTTCACTTTCCACTGTCTTGCTTCCCAAAAATCACATTTTTCAACTGAAATTGGTTTGTTCCACATACGAAATGTGAAACATTGAAATTTAAACGTGTTTGAAATGTATTCAAATTTGGTTTAGTTCTAAAGGCCTTGGCATGATTAATTCAAATATATAAATTGTTTCAAAAATGAACCTTGTTTTAAAGGACATAAATGTTTTTAATTGGCTAGATGAAATAAAATCTATGGATTTGCAAGCGAGAGAGAACAGATATATGCATGCGTGTATGAGAGAAGAGAGAGAGTGGGCAGTCACATCCATGCCTTCATGTAAGGACAATGGTGGGGGCCAATAGTTCTATTCGACCTGGTGTTCATTTTGTATAGCAAAAAGGGAGGAATAATAGCTCTCTGTGGCCCGAATCTTAAAGCAACTTATGTGTGGTGAGATCATTACTGGTGTGTACCAGAGCCGCGCAAAATGAGTTTGTGAAGACTGATGCCACGTCAACCAAATATTCTAGCTAACGCTGTGAGCACGGCCATGGCCACTGGGACCAATCAGGGACAGGACCGTGTCATTGGTCGGCCAGCAAGGATCATCCACTGATACGTCCATTTTGCATCATGTTTTCCTACTATTATTTTTATTATTTTAAAGCTATATTCCACTTTTTGATGCAATTCTAATGTCTTTTCTCTCTTAAAATATAAGATACACCACAAAAGGGAGATTGCCGGCAACTGGAATTCTAAGTTTGAGAAAGCTACAATAGAGCTCCGGAGGTCCAATTGATGTGAAAATTTATAAAGATTTATTTTTGAATATATAAAAAATACTGTGAGAAAAATATACCAGAGAAGACCCTGCATGGT